AGCATGATAATGATTTGCAAGAACAACAAATGAACGGTCAAGCACCACCTAATATTGCTATTAAGAATGAACCTAACATAGATGAACCACAAGAAATTGCATTAAGAAGGTCTACAAGAAATCAAAGACCTGCAATTTCTGATGATTATGAGGTTTATCTTCATGAGTTAGAATCTGATTTAGGATTCTATCATGATCCATTTTCATTTTCACAAGCCATGAAAAGTGAGCATTCTGATAAATGGTTAGCTGCCACGAAAGAAGAGATCAAATCTATGTATAAAAATGAAGTTTGGGACCTTGTTGATTTGCCTGAAGGTTGTAAAAGAGTTGGTAATAGATGGGTCTGGAAGACCAAACACGACTCTAATGGCAATATCGAAAGACACAGGGCCAGACTTGTTTCCAAAGGTTTCACTCAGAAAAGTGGCATTGACTATAAAGAGACATTTTCACCCGTCTCCAAGAAAGACTCCTTAAGGATTGTCATGACAATGGTAGCTCATTATAATCTAGAGCTCCATCAGATGGATGTGAAAACCGCCTTTCTAAATGGGAATTTAGATGAAGCAGCCTATATGGATCAACCTGAAGGTTTTGTGGTTGAGGGAAAAGAACATATGGTGTGCAAATTAAAGAAGTCAATATACAGACTTAAACAAGCTTCCCGACAATGGTATATTAAGTTCAATGATACAATTACATCTTTTGGATTTAACGAAAACATCGTCGATCGATGTATATATCTGAAGATTAGTGGGAGTAAGTTTATAATTTTAGTTCTGTATGTTGACGATATCTTGCTTGCTACTAATGATCTTGGTTTATTACATCAAACCAATGAGATTCTCTCTAAGAAGTTTGAAATGAAGGATTTGGGTGAGGCATCCTATGTGATTGGAATATAAATATTTCGTGATAGATCACAAGGACTGTTGGGATTGTCTCAGAAATCATACATTAGTCGGATCCTAGAGAGATACAACATGGCTGAATGCTCTGCAAATGTCGTTCCAATTCAGAAGGGAGATAAATTTAGTCTCAAACAATGTCCAAAGAATGAATTGGAACGCAAGCAAATGGAACACATTCCTTATGAATCTATTGTTGGAAGTTTGAATTATGCACAGACTTGTACCAGACCAGACATCAGTTATGCTGTTGGAATGCTGGGCAAGTATCAAAATAATCCAGGAGTAGATCATTGAAAAGCTGCAAAGAAAGTACTAAGGTATCTGCAAGGAACAAAAGATCAGATGCTCACCTTTAGGAGATCTGATCACCTTGAGGTGATTGGATATTCATATTCAGATTATGCTAGATGTGTAGACACCAGGAAGTCTACTTTTGGCTATTTATTCCTTTTAGCCAGAGGGGAAATTTCATGGAAGAGTGTGAAGCAGTCTGTTATTGCCACATCCACTATGGAAGCTGAATTCATAGCTTGTTATGAAGCTACGAATCATGGTTTATGGCTGTGAAATTTTATTTCTGGACTTGCAATTGTCGACACTATCGCCAAGCCGCTGAAAATTTACTGTGATAATTCCGCAGCGGTATTCTTCTCTAAGAATGACAAGTATTCGAAGGGTGCTAAGCATATGGAGGTGAAATACTTTGTCTTAAGGAAGAAGTTCAGAAACAAAGGGTGTCGATCGAGCATATTAGCACACAGCTTATGATTGCTGATCCATTAATAAAAGGATTGCCTCCTAAGACATTTACTGAGCATGTCGAAAGGATGGGGATTATAGGACGTCATGACTAAAGTTATTTTATGTTTCATGGATTGACACTTTGAGCTCATTTATTTTGTTTATGGAATAAAGTTATGAATCTTGTTTTATTTATTATGATAAGTATATATACATTATGCATTATGTGAACAGAACAAGATTTTTGTCTTTAGGGAAGACATTATTGTTGGACCATTATGAATACCTTATTATGTGTCATATTGAGCATGAAACTGGTTTTATGATACATCGAAGGGACTATGTCGATAAATTGATATAGAACCTCCATGATCCTAATCTAGCTTTCATACTTGATTATGACTTTATGGTGAACCAAATATTATGAATTTATCTTATGATGTGCACACTTATGTTTATTATTAGATCTTGTGATATATAATGACACATGGACCAAGTGGGAGAATGTAAGCCCAATTCCTGTATGTCACTAGGGAATAATTGTGACCAAGTGTAATTATCACTTAATGGTTTAATATATAAGGTAAATCCTATATTGATTAGGTTAATGAAAGGTAAATTCCCAATATACCCTGATGGTGGGTCTATATAAAGAAGCCCTAGGATTGATCCTCTCTCAACCCATTACGTAGAATTTCTTCGTCATCACAGAATTCTCTAAACCTAAAACCTAAAGGGGTCAAGAGGGAGAAACTCAATTCCGGTGATTACTACTCCAGTGCCGCTGCCGCTCTCGTCATGGATCGAGGTATGTTTTCTCGATCTATTATCGATTCGTGAAATCATCTAATTCTAAGATCCATGCTATTATGATCTATGTTTACAGCTATCACTCTGAGAAGTATGAATGAGACATTAGCAAGGTTCTAAAATGCGCTAGGCGTAAGGCAGGCGCTCGGCTCATGACTTGCGCCTTGCCTGATTAGGCGTAGTCTAGGCGCGCCTAGGCGTTCAGAGCATAAATGGAAAAAGTTCTCAAATATTTCATGTTTTCTGGAATAATTCATATAATCCAAGTGCATATAAAATTAGCAATGCCTAGTTCTTAACAGTAAACACTTAACATAACAAATAACAAGCAAATACTGACCACTTCCTAGAATCACAAGTTCATAAAATTTCGAAATACTAAACAATAGTCAATAAGTTCATAGGAAAATGTTCATTCTTCATCATCAAAGTAGGTCCGTCCAGCCACCACTTCATCTTCATCATCCTCAAAAGCAATCTCCTCACCATCCTCCTCTTCGGACTCTAATTCTTCATCATGGAGCTCTCTCACTCGTGCACTCCTGCGAAGCTCTCTCTGTTCACCCGCCATTGCATCTGTAACAGTACTCGAGGGTGCACAATATGATTCCTCATCCTCATCTACGAATACATACATAGCATGGTCATTCCCTTCCCGTGTTTCTGATTTTATAGGGCAAGAGGCAATTTTCAGATTTTTTAGGACAAAACGAAGAGTATTGGGTTTAACCGCCTAAGCTCGCACAGGAACGCCCAGGCACGCCTTCTCTCCACTAGGCGCAAACTAAGCGCTATTCCTACCTACTAAGCGCTACCAGCGCCTTTTACAACGCCTATGGCCAAGTCAAGGCGATCTTCCACCGCCTAGCGCCTAATTGAGCCTAGGCGCGCCTTCTTGAACCCTGGACATTAATTTAATTTTTTATACGAAAAATATCATTGAAAAATTACATTTTGGTACCTAAAATTTTTCATTATGACATTTTAGTACATAACTTTTCACATTTTACATATTGATCCTTGATTGAGGATGTCATTTGGATTCATGGATAATCCACCAATCCACTTGATCCAATCCATTTGATCCATGGATCCACCAATCCAATCCATCAATACATGAATCCACCAATCCAATCCATCAATCCATGAATCCACCAATCTATTGGATCCAATTCATTTGATTCATAGATCCACCATCCAATTCATTTGATTCATACATCCACCAATCCAATCCATCAATCCATCCAGATTTAATACTTAATTAATTAATAGCACACTTCAACAATATGGATACCTGTTACGGTTAGCGTCACTGGTTCAGTCCCCCAACTGGTCTCACAAACATTGGCAAAGTTCGTTTTCATTGAAGGCTATTAATAGACTGAAAAGGATGAGGGTTTTAGGTCGATAAGGACAAATTACCGGGAATGGATCAGGTCAGTAACCTTATGGTGAGTAACCATGAGTAACCCGTCCACATCAGCATGACATCAGCATCCTCTCTCTCATGTAAAGCCTTTAATTTTTCCCTCTTTAATCTTTGACGGACGATTTCTCGCTCATTTTAAGTCGAAATTTAATTTTTTTTTGCACAGTTAGATCAGATTAATTGTGCTCTTCAAAATGATATCCACTTTAATATATTTTTCGAACAAAAAAAATTGAGTCATTTTTCACCAGCCTATACCATATGGTATTGACTGGTATTGAAATAAAAGCATACCTATGTTTTGAAAAACGTACCATGGTGGTATGAACAAACCAATATTGTAGGATGGTTGAATACATGATAGTAGAAGTATATTAATTGTAATTTACGACTTTTAACATTGTATACCACACAATACCACCCCGTACCAGGGTGGTATTGTATGGTATTGTGTGGTATTTTTTGGTCCTGTAATTTGTTCACCCAGAAATTTGTAGATCCAATAGATCATGATGAACTCGTCCCTTCTGTGCAAACGTTTTCAAAAACGAATTAAAAACGAAGAAGATACCATACAATACCACCCCGTACCAGGGTGGTATTGTATGGTATTGTGTGGTATTTTTTTATCCTGTAATTTGTTCACCCAGAAATTTGTAGATCCAGTAGATCATGATGAACTCATCCCTGCTGTGCAAACGTTTTCAAAAACGAATTAAAAACGAAGAAGATACCATATGGTATGTAGTTAGTACCGAGAGGCCAGAATTTTTTTTCCCTAAAAAAATATTGAAAATTGATCTCATTTTGTAGAGCACGGTGAACTCGTTCCATCTGTGCAAAAAAAATTAAAATCCGAGTTAAAACGAAAAAGATATGAGTCATTAAGAAAGCTAGTCAAAATAAAAATAGCCTTTAATTCTCCATCCTTAGATCTGGATTTTCTAAATGAAGGGTCCAGATTTGGTTATTGATGGGTGCATGACCCATGGTTATGCACCCTATCTTGAACCCAAATTACCTACTATAATTCCCAACCCACGGCAATTCCAATTACCAAATCAGCCTTCCACATTTCAAGCAGTCATCAAGGCGGACAAGTAAAGCTTTAACTGAACTGATATGATATTGATACCAAGAATGGTGATTCGATTCTCACAAAACTTCTGCAAACATTACTCTTGCAACTACAAATATAGATGTTCGGAAAATAGAGACCAGAAAACGCTTGGTAACATAATATCCAATGATCCAGAAAAGATTGATAACATAACATCCCAGGAGCTATGGCTTAGTCAAAAGTTGTGCAACCTCTAAAGCTTGAAAATAAAAATACAATAAAAAGGTGAAAGGTCTAGTTCATCCTCCTGATGAGCTCATTGATATAATCCTCACGGTTTCCAGCATCACCACCTTCCACATAGTGGTTCCTCTTCTTCTTCAACCCGCCCAATGGAGCGCTAAGCTTGAATGGCCACAGGAAGTTGTTGGCCTCCTTGAAATGAGGGCCAACAGTCATGATCTCGTGAATGAGATCTTCCACACAGATGATGCCAAACTTTCCAAGACCCTGCCAAACGTTTAGGAACAGATCATTTACTATTGTACTTATAAACTAAACAGAGACGATATAAATGTACAACAGATTGCTCATAAAGGTTACATACCTGTTCAACAATGGCATTGTCGGTCAAGGGAATTCTCTGTTTGTCTAGCTTGCCAAACCCCCTCTTGTAAATCAACTCCTTGACAGATTTAAGATTAGGGTATCTGATAGACATTACAATAGAATCAGGTGGAGCCACCAACACATATGAAACTAGGAAAACATAGGAGCTTGATAAACAGGTTCTAGTACAAAGACAACAACCCATACCCATAAGTCACATAGGGCTCAACTCTCCTGAGCATGTTCACGGTAGCCTTGTTGACCTTGAGGAACACACCATTGAAGATCTACACAAGATAATTATGGATCAAGACTCAAATTAAAACAGTAAAGACTAAGAATGAACATCACAGGCAAAGTAAGAAATTACCTGTCTCAGACGGAACAGCTGCAAAATCTTCCTAGTCTTTGGGTCCATGGCATTAATACTATCAACAGACAATGGGATTTAAGTCAAGAAACAGCCACTTTGCAGAAACCTTGTATCAAAACAGGGTAAATAACCACAGTAGAAGAGCAAAATTCGAGTCATACCCACGAATGCGGACAATGAATAACAGCTTGGCCTCTGGGCTGACATAGAAGCCACCCTTAAGTTTGGCCTCTCTCTTCAACCTGATCAACTCCCTCTCCTGTATAAGACAGAGAGGATCAAATCGCAGCAACCAGTAATTCTACCAATAGTGTGACCAAACTGACACCGAAACCAAATTGAAAAACCACTAAGCAGCATAGGTTAGAGATGCAAACCTGGTCCTTGTACTCCTTGGCATACTGCTCAGCCCTTTTGAAGATGATCTTCCTGTTCTCGGCACTCTTCTTCTTCTGTGCCACTGTTGCCTGGGTCTTGGCCAAAGCCCACTCGTCATTTCTCTTCCTCTTCTTCAAAACAGACTCGGGAACAATAGCAGCTACCTTAGCTTCTTCTGCCATCTCTACTACCTCGCCAGAACGCAAGAAACAAACAAATCCAGAATATCAAACACCAGAAGACCATTGACGGTATCGCAGTAAAGCTTAAGAGAACAAACAGTAAAGCAGAAAATGAAGCTCAGAGAACAAAAACAGAATCAAGCCAACAAAAAAGAGGGTACTGCATTCGCAACGCATAGTCTAGATCCAGAAAAACAAAATCTTTAAGCACACTAGTAAATGAGGACGAGGAAGAACATGTGGAATCGGCAACCTTTAACAAAAATCCGTAACAGCTAGACAATGGCAAGGGAAAGGAACATTAAACCGGGAGGAGATTATCGCTTACCTCTGATCTCGACTGCAGAGAATTTCTGTAGCTCCAATAGCTAGTAGGGCGGCCTGGAGGAGAAGAGAAAGGAGATGCTAGGGTTTTATCGGAGTGGTTTTAAATATAAACCTAGAGCGTCCTCCTCGTATCTGGGCTATGTCCACATTTAGGGCCGGGCTTGTGGACAGTGGACAGTACGACGACTCGTTTATATAAGTAGCTCAGCCCAGCCCAAATTTCGGCCCGTCCTACTGGTTGGCAACCAATTTTTCACCTTTACTGGAGTGCTTCAGCTAGTCAGATTTCCCTTGTCCAGGATTGTTCTTCAAGTACCTTAGTACCCTGAGGTTGCTTGTAAATGATCACTATAAGGCTATTTCTGAAATTGGCATAACTGTTGCACTATGTATGTTAAATCAGGTTTGGTGATTGTCACATAGTGCAACCTTCCAATCAGCCTTTTGTAAACTTCTGCATCTTCCAGAGGAGTCCCTTGGTTTGCTGCTAGTTTTTACCTTAGGGCCCGTTTAGTATCGTTATCTGTTTTTGTTTTCTGTTGTGATTTTAAAAATTGTGAAAACCAATAAAAAAACATGTTTAGTTGAGTTTTCAAATTTTGTTGTGCAACAGATTTGAGCAACCAGGCCCAAATTAACAAAACGTCAAATTGTAGCTTCGGAGGCGTTGCACGCGGGTTTCCCCTTCCATTAATTGATAATAATTATTTTATTTCTTTACTCCATAACCTTTCTTCTTCCTTCTCTAATAGCGTATCGTCCTCTTTCTTTCTTCCTTTGTGCGCCGATCCGGCAATCCCAGCCGGCGGTCCAAATCTCACCTGCATATGGGCGACCTGAATGCCCACAGCGCCGACGAGGCCGACGCTCCAATATCCTAGAATCCCCTACTTTTCAATGACACCGACGACCCCAACACTCCATCGCCGACGATCCCCGATCCCCTTTCCTCATCACTATGATCTCAAATCCCAAATCATAGTGTCAACGACCCCAATCCTTTCCCCCCTTCATGCGATTCAAGCACATTGTTACTCTTGTCCCGATTATGTCCTTTAATGGGTTCCTGCATCTCGACTGCGACAGAGGGGCAGCGGAGGCGATTTGGACATGGAGGAAGAGAGGCGAGACGGGAAGGCAATGGCAATGAAAAGGTCGCTTCTCATTGCAAAATTTGCTGCAATTTTTCCCGGTCGAAATAAAGGATTGAAAGAATTGAAAAAAGTCGCGACAGAGAAAGTGTGAGAGGCTGATTTGAGTTGCTGATTTTTATGCGTGATTGGCTAATTTTTCTGTTTAGTATGGTTGTTGATTTGTGTTTTGTTGGTGTTGTTGTTTCTCTTGTGTTTACACAACCTTTTTAAAACACAACATAATAGAAACGGTACTAAACAGGGCCTTAGGATCTGAAGGTGTGATGCATCCCTTTGCTTCCAAGTATCCAGTGTCTTTTAGCAACTCCAAGGCATACTTCCTCTGGCAAACACTAATCACATCTGCAGTCCTTTTTACTTCCATTCCAAGGAAATATTGTAGAGGTCCTAGCAGTTTTATCTTGAACTCTTTACTCAATACTTTCTTGATTTGCTCTATATCCTTTGGTGCATCTCCTCCTATGATGGTATCATCAACATACACCAATAGTATCACAATTCTGCCATGCACCCACTTAGTGAATAGAGAATAATATTAAGTTGATTGAGCAAATCCATTCTTCATCAGAAAACCTGTTAATTTTGCAAACATTGCCTTGATGCCTGTTTGAGCCCATACGGTGATTTCTTAAGCTTACAAGCCATTCCTTTTGGATCAATACCCTGCAGATCAAGTCTCATAGGTATCTTCATATATACCTCTTCTTCTAAATCTCTATGAAGAAAAGCATTTGAAACATCTAACTGCTCTATGTCCAATTTTTAATTGATGCCACTGCTAGTAGAGCTTTCACTAAGTTTATCTTAGCTACTAGGGAAAAGGTGTATAGGAAGTCAATTCCATAGACCTGAGTGTATCCTTTTGACACCAGCCTAGCTTTAAACCTTTCTATAGAGCCATCTGCTCTTCTTTTGATTTTAAAAACTCACTTATAGCCAATGGCTTTCTTTCCATCTAGCAACTTCACAACATCCCATGTTTGGTTCTGCTCTAAGGCCGCAAGCTCTTCTTGTACAGCCCTATTCCACACATCTTATTGCATTGCCTCATAATAGGTAGTTGGCTCAATCTGTGAGATAACACTCAATGCAAAGGCCTTGTCATCAGCATTCAAGTGATCTAAGTCAATATCAATAGGATACTTAGACACTGCTGCACGGGAACCAAAAGCCCCAAAGCTCACATCAGGATCCAATTCACAATTATCGAACTTAGCAGGTAACTTATGAGTCCTTTGTGGTCTCTTGGATGGTTCAAAGTCCGGTTGTGGTTCTAACTCTGCTTCCATCTCAAAGTCCTGAGGACTATAAGGTGTGTAAGGTGCTCTAGTTTCAGTGTCGTCACTAACAAACTCAGCTTCAGGTTTTTCTTCTGCAGAAGGTATAGGTTGGCCCCCATCAGCAGAGGGTGATACAGGTGATGAAAAGGTAGAGGAAGAAGGTGAAAGGGTTAGACCAGGAGCATTAATTGGAGGATGGGAAGTTGGAAGTGGAATTTGAGTATATGTGGAAGGATCAAAGTAACAGAAGTGTAGGAATCATGTCTGAAAGGGAGGATAGACTCATGAAACACCACATTCGTAGATGTTAAAACTTGGTTATCTTTAAGATCAAGTAACTTGTATCCCTTAAAACCAGATGGGATGCTAAATAGTACACACTGTCTAGCTCTAGGATCAAATTTAGATCTCCCTGTTGCTATTGTACTAGCGTACACCAAACAACCAAAGACCCTTAAATGGCCTAAGAATGGGGCTTTCTTATAAAGGACCTCATATGGTGACTTGTTGTATAAGATTGGTATAGGGATCCTATTATTAAGATAAACTGCATGAAGAATACAGTCACTCTAGTACAATAGTGGAATGCCAGACTAAAACCTAAGGGATCTAGCCACATTTAAAATGTTCTGATGCTTCCTTTCTACCCTAGCATTCTGCTATGGGGTATAAATACAGGGGCATCTGGTGCTCTATTCCTTCAGCCATGTAAAAATCACATATATCGAATTTCCTGCCTTGATCACTTCTTGCTGTTTTGACAGTGGTGCCAAACTGATTTTTGACCAATTAACAGAAGCCTTTAAACAAATCTCTGGCTTCACTTTTGTGTTTCATAAGGTAAACCCACACTGCTCGTGTGCAATCATCAACCACAGTTAAAAAATAGACATAACCATCATAGGAAACAACTGATAGAGGACCCCAAATGTCAATGTGTATTAACTGAAAGGGTTCTGTTGCAGTACGGGTGCTAATAGAAAATGGTTGTCACTTGTGTTTAGAAAGATGACAGACATTACAGTTATCTGACTTGGAAATGGAAACAAAAGAATCTAGTTTGTGCAACAAAGTTTGCCTATCACTACTTTGATGACCTAGTCCCCAATGCCATATATCAACTTGGTGGTGATGGAAGTTGTAGACACTAGATAGCCGCAGTACATAGTCTGGCATGGGAGTTCACGCTCTTACAGGACCGCAAACCGGAGCCATATTCCGTGAACCAAGAGGCACCCAGAGAAGGTTTTGAGGTTACTGACGCCAAGGTTGTTCACGGTCGCTAAGACCATGAACAGAAGCCACAGATCGTGAACCCCAGGATGTGAAGCGATGCGTTTTGGTTCAGACTCAGTGTTCACGGACGCTTTTCGATATTCACGGCTATAATCTAGGCTCGATCTTAGTTAAAAGAGCCAGTTGAAAGGAAGAAGAAAAAGGGTAGACCTAGTGTGAGAAACTTCTTCTTCTTCAGATTTAGAGTGAGAAAGTGACGAACCAAAGAAGAGGAGAAGTTAGAGTTTCATCTCCAAGCAAGGATTTGGGAATTCCTCCCCCAAAGGAGGATCTCTTTAACACAAGGAGCAAGGCTTTCATCTTCTTGATGGTTTTCCTTTCCCTCTCTTGTGTTTTCCCTTCTCCTAGTATGGAGTAGTCTCTTCTTTAACACCACTGGACGAGGACATTAACCGGACTCTCCGACTTCTAGCTCGAGAGAGGGAGCAAGCGGAGGAAAGAAGGAGAAGTGAAGGAAGGGGACAACAAGTTGGTCCCGGATTTAAAGGAATTGAAGGAGAAGTTGGAGTTGAGATGGCGGGAAATCAACACCAAGGGGCTAATCCGCTTCCAAACCCAAATGTGGAAGCGGGAGCCGAGGAAGAGCCAAGGACTATGGGCTATTACATGGCTCCATGGGTGGCGGATATCCAATATCCCATCTTACATCCACCCATGGCCGCCAACAACTTTGAAATCAAGCCCTCTCTCGTGACAATGATTCAACAAAATGCCTACTTCCACGGGATTGCTCATGAATCACCACGAGAGCATGTCCAAAGATTTCTTGAGCTAGTGGGAAGCTTGAAGATAAATGGCGTCCCCGAGGAGGCATTTCGATTGAAGCTCTTTCACTATTCTTTGGCAGGGAAGGAACTCTGATGGCTCAACAACCGTCTGGCTCTATCCATCACCTCTTGGGATGACCTACTCAACAAGTTCATGACCCGATATTGTCCTCCTTCCAAGACGGCCGAGTGGAGAAAGAAGATCACTCACTTTGAGCAAGAGGAGGATGAGACATTGAGGGATGCACGGGAAAGATTCTCTGACTACTTCCTCCAATGCCCTCACCATAGATTCGAGGAGAAATTTCGGATAGAAACTTTCTATGGAGACCTCATTCAAGATGAAAAGATCCTCATCGGCTCTCTTTGCAAAGGAAAGTTGATGAACATGACCCCTCCTCAAGTGACCGAGTTGCTCGAAGATATGGCCCTTAAGGGATATGATTGGGGCTTGACAAGAAGGGGGAAGAGAAGCACCGAGTGTGGGAGCAAGTGCTCCACTTGAAGCAAAGCTTGACAAGTTGATCGAGTTGATCCTTGAGGACAAGAAGCAATGGAAGAGAGCGGTGATGTCTTGTGATTGGTGTTCAAGCACTAATCATGAAATTGCGGATTGCCAAGCAATAAAGGAGACCAGTACCCCCCAAGAG